TTTAAATTCTTTATTGTTTAAAGTATTATATAAGTCTCCTGAGTATTCTTTTGTTGTTATTTTGCCCTTAATTTTTCAAGCACTGTAAATGGAATAAAAATTTGGGTTCTTTACCTTTGTCAGTCTAATGAAGCCTATGAACACCTTCTCAGAATAATGTTCTTAAGTGCATAAAATAAAATATATAGGATTACAAAGGAAGCTGATTATTAAAATGTTAAAATATAAATTTGTGCTATAGTAACATACTGTACACGTTTCTTTATAAATGCATTAAATAACAAGAGTTAATAACGATCTTTAATTTGAAGTAGTGATGAGCATATTTGAAGATATCTGCAAAAACTGTAAGGTGACATAAAAATATCTGAGTTTTCTTTTGGTTGTAAAATTACAAGTATTGCTAATTTGGTTTATGAACTACATAAAAGAAATGCTAACTTTTAGTTAGAGGTTAGGCCTATATGTTCATGTAGAGTCTAATGTCACTGCAATAAAATTTAAAATAAAAAAATAAATAGAGGGGAGAACCAAGATGGCGGCATAGGTTAATGCCGGAGTTTGCTGCCTTGAACAACTACTTCAAAAGTGAAACCAAAAAACGGAAGGGACATCACCCAGAACCACAGGAACGCTGGCTGAGTGGAAGTCCTACAACTAGGAGGAAAGAGAAACGCATACGGACACTCAGAGGAGGCGCAGTGCTGAAGTCAAATTCTGAGGTGCGGAGTGCGCGAGCGGGCTGGCGGCGGAGGGCGTGGTTGGCGTTTTCAATCAGGAGGGAGTCGCAGACTCTGAGCTCCAGATACCGGCGAGTCTTTAGGGACCCAGACTCAAACGGGAGAAGCGAGACTGTCTGGCTTCGGTCAGAGCGAGTGCAGCTTTCTCTCCGAGCTTTGCAGCGGGTGCTGGGACTCAGAGAGGCAGAGCCCCTGGGGACAGGACTGAGAGCCACCATAACTGCTCTCTCCGGCCCACCCTGTTGATCCTGTGCAACCCGCCCTGCCCAAGCCCTGCACAGAGGCATTTGCCGGATAGCCTCAGGCAAAGGCTAGATTAGCACCTCCCTAGAGGACAGAAGTTCTCTCACTGCAGACACAGCTGATTCTCATAGCCACTTGGCCTGGAGGTCAAACCCTCCCTGGAATTAGCTACAACAATCAAGATTTAACTATAAGACTGCGAACAAAGACCACTAGGGGGTGCACCAAGGAAGCATAACAAAATGCGGAGACAAAGAAACAGGACAAAATTGTCAATGGAAGATATAGAGTTCAGAACCACACTTTTAAGGTCTCTCAAGAACTGTTTAGAAGCTGCCGATAAACTCAATGAGATCTACAAGAAAACTAATGAGACCCTCGATCTTATATTGGGGAACCAACTAGAAATTAAGCATACACGGACTGAAATAACGAATATTATACAGACTCCCGACAGCAGACCAGAGGAGCGCAAGAATCAAGTCAATGATTTGAAATGCGAGGAAGCAAAAAACACCCAACCGGAAAAGCAAAATGAAAAAAGAATCCAAAAATGCGAGGATAGTGTAAGGAGCCTCTGGGACAGCTTCAAGCGTACCAACATCAGAATTATAGGGGTGCCAGAAGATGAGAGAGAGCAAGATATTGAAAACCTATTTGAAGAAATAATGACAGAAAACTTCCCCCACCTGGTGAAAGAAATGGACTTACAGGTCCAAGAAGTTCGGAGAACCCCAAACAAAAGGAATCCAAAGAGGACCACACCAAGACACATCATCATTAAAATGCCAAGAGCAAAAGATAAAGAGAGAATCTTAAAAACAGCAAGAGAAAGAAACTCAGTTACCTACAAGGGAATACCCATACGACTGTCAGCTGATTTCTCAACAGAAACTTTGCAGGCCAGAAGGGAGTGGCAAGAAATATTCAAAGTGATGAATACCAAGAACCTACAACCAAGATTACTTTATCCAGCAAAGCTATCATTCAGAATAGAAGGTCAGATAAAGAGCTTCACAGATAAGGAAAGGCTAAAGGAGTTCATCACCACCAAACCAGGATTATGTGAAATGCTGAAAGGTATCCTTTAAGAAGAGGAAGAGGAAGAAAAAGGTAAAGATACAAATTATGAACAACAAATATGCATCTATCAACAAGTGAATCTAAGAATCAAGTGAATAAATAATCTGATGAACAGAATGAACTGTTGATTATAATAGAATCAGGGACATAGAAAGGGAATGGACTGACTATTCCTGGGGGGGAAAGGGGTGTGGGAGATGCGGGAAGAGACTGGACAAAAATCGTGCACCTATGGATGAGGACAGTGGGTGGGGAGTGAGGGCGGAGGGTGGGGCGGGAACTGGGAGGAGGGGAGTTATGGGGGGGAAAAAAAGAGGAACAAATGTAATAATCTGAACAATAAAGATTTAATTAAAAATAAATAAATAAATAAATAAATAAATAAATCAGTTAGAGGTTAGTGAAAATAAAGATATAACTTTTTGCCTGTCCAGTGTATCTCAGTGGTCGAGTGTTGACCTATGAACCAGGAGGTCACGATTAGATTCCGTCGGGGCATATGCTGGGAGCTGTGGACTCGATCCCCAGGAGGGGTCGTGCAGGAGGCAGCCCATCAAGCCTCTGTCATCACTGATTTTCTATCTCTCTCTCCCTCTCCCTTCCTCTCTGAAATCAATTTAAAAAAACACATATTTAAGAAAAAAACAAAAAAGTTGCATTCCTCCTGTTATCTATCTCTATATCTATCTCTATCTTTAAATCGTAGCCAACAACCCTAAGAAGAAGTTAGAGGAGAAATTATCCCTCCCAGCATTATTATCCCTCTACAGCATTATTATGATTCACAGATGGGCATTTACGGTTTCATATTTTTGTGGGTTTTTCCCCTATAGTTATTAATGACTCAAAATAAATTTAACATGAAGCACCATACCATAAATTTAACATGTCGTCATTCGGGGTTTGGCTCCCCCTCTGCCAGCACTGAAATTAGTTGTGATTGGGGCAAACCAGTTTTACTTGAATAGGTTTTCTCATCTCTAACACAGGAGCCGTATGTGTTGGGAGAGACATAGTAAGAGTAAGGTAGGAGAATGTGACAGTGAATGCGAAAGCTCTTTATAAACTTTAAGTGTGTGAGAAGTATAAACCACAATAATTGTACCAGGGGATTTTCACTATTTTTGACCCTGAAGACAGGGTTCTAGTCTCCATCCTCTCCTATTTGACTCTGGGCAAATCTTTTCATATATGGAATCACTGTTTTCTAACTGATAATACAGACATATCAAGATTATGAATTACTATGATATGTTTACACTTCTAAACCAATTTGTTTGGACATATAACAATCTGCAAACTAAGAAGTTTGTACTGCTAGACAATCTCAAATTACCTACCAGCTCTGATTTTATTATTTTGTTTCTAAGTGAGACATTAATGATAGTCTAAACCAGCAGTTCTCAACCTGTGGGTCGCGACCCCTTTGGGGGGCGAACAACCCTTTCACAGGGGTCGCCTAAGACCATCAGAAAACACAAATATAATTACATATTGTTTTGTGATTAATCACTATGCTTTAATTATGTTCAATTTGTAACAATGAAAATACATCCTGCATATCAGATATTTACATGACGATTCATAACAGTAGCAAAATTACAGTTATGAAGTAGCAACGAAAATAATTTTATGGTTGGGGGTCACCACAACGTGAGGAACTGTATTAAAGGGTCGCGGCATTAGGACGGTTGAGAACCACTGAAGCTATCTGCTGTCCCCAGATATATGGCACAGGAGAAATTCCTTACGTCGGAGACCGCTAGAGCAAACTGGTTTCCCCCAAGTCACATGAGACTATAAGGTGGTAATGCACGATATGGTAGATTCAATAACGAAATCAAAGAAAACAATCCGAGAAACCTATGGTTAATTAAATGGAGGTTGAGGACACTGGTCACGGCAGGAAATCTGTGCATATCGCCACAGTTGTGCACATGCACTTACTGAACCTCCCCCTCGGGCATCCGGCTTTTCTAGTTGAGATGCGGCACCAGGTCCTTGGGATTCCCAGCCTGCCTTGCGCTACTCTTGGCGGGAAAGCTGACCTCGACGGGGGTCAAAAGGCTACTGACGCGCTTCTTCCGGGCAACCGTTGAAGGAAAGCGCATGCGCATTGGGCAGAGAGCGTGCTTCGCGGCGGCGCTCTCCTGGTCGCTGGTGCCTGTCCGTCAGATGTTATGTAATATATACGTTTGTGTCTGTTTTCCTTTATTAATTTCATTCGTAGTCGTAATATTTGCTTTTAAATCTCTTTTTCTGTCACCGGCTGCTTACTTTTCAGTTTCTTAGAGTCTTAATGGCGAAACATTCAGGGGAAAATGTATACCTAGTCAGAGGTCTTTGGAAGTAGGTTGACTCACGTCTCGTCCGGCCTTCGTCAGGATAACTTTAAATGTTTACAGTAAATAGACTCTTATATGAACTTTTCTAGTTGAATTGTCTGATGAAGAAAAATGACATTGGGACCAAAAGATGGAAACATCAAAATAACAAAGTTATAATTGAGAAACCAGAATCAGTAAAAAACAAAAATGTAGGGTATTTTCTGTGTTCCTTTTACGGCTGTTCCACAGAGGAGGGCAATACTTTCCATCCAGAGCCGCGCTGCCAGCTCAGCGAAGGAAAGTCACCCGATTCGCTTATTTTGAAACTACAAATTTAAAACAAAAATTAAAAGATTGTTGTGCAGGGTTTGGCAGGGGCAGTTTTTCATTACCCAGTACCTACCTGTACAATGTTGTTAATGCTGGAATATTCTGAAGTGAAGAAAAATAGAAGATTATGCTTTGTTTAAAAAAAGCCTGGTAGCCCTGGCCGTGCTCAGTGGCGAGAGCAGCCGCCCGCGCCCGGCAGGGACCCGGTCAAGGGCGCGTCCCCGGGGAGGCTCCGCTTCCTCTCTGCAGTTTTACCTAAAATCTGTGGAACACCCCCCAAAAAAAGGTCTTTGAAAGAGCTTTCTTAACCCATTTATGTCAGGCTTGCTAGTAAAACGGCTTAAAATGAGGACCTTACAAGAAGGGCAAAATGAATGTTTTTGAAGATTCCATTTTAAGTAAAGGAATCCTCTCGTTTAGTCACGTATCATTCTTCCTGCCTGGATAGGTAGTAAACTAGAAAAGGGTAAAAATAAGGCCTGACGTTAAAGCTGGTGTTTGTCTCACAAGGTTGAATTAAAGACAATACTTCCTCAGAAGATGGCCACTGCCCAGCTGCAGGGAACACCCATGGTATGAGTTTTTTCGTATTCTAATACATTTTAATTTAGCTAATTTTATTGTTGTCTTGAAGTCTCAACTGCTTTTGTATTTGAGAATTAGAGCCAGCTGTTTGAGGGTTTAGTGATATCCGAAAACTCCCATGTTTTGAGAAATGGAGATTTTTTTTTTTTTTTTTTTTTCTAAACTGTTTTGAATGAATGGAGAAGCCTGTTGGATGTTCAAGGTCAGTTCACCTTGGGTGCGAATGCGTGCGGTCCGGTTGCTCTGATGAAGTTATCATCCATGGCGTCCACTCCTAGAAACTGATGTTCACGGCCCACAGAGGTCAGAAGTCAGAGGTCAGGGGCCTCGCCTGCACGGTATTTGCTGTCTGTGCAGCGGGTGCTTTTCATGTCGCCGCTGGGCTGCTGCCTGCGAGCGCCTTCCCACCGCAGGGGCCAGGCTGCCTTCTGGGGGTTATTGTCTGCGAGGGCCAAGGGTTCTCGGGGAGAGCACCTGCTTTTGCAGGACTGGGTCTACTGCAAGGAAGACTTTCCTTTTCGTAAGCCAAATGTCTCCTTCCCCTCGAACGTAGAGTGCGTTGGTGTTTCCCAACGAGATCATGACCGAGCAGAGCTCTCTGATGCTGGTGAAGAGGCTCCTAGCGATTTCCGTGTCCTGCATCACGTATTTGAGAGGAATATTTCCAGAATGTGCTTATGGATCAAGATACCTAGATGGTAATATGTTTATTTTAAAACTTCCTTTAAACGTAGTTATTCTTATATGGGCTTGCTCTAAAACTATAATTTTTTCCTTAGAGATTTTGCTTTTTTAATAACAGCTTTATTATTGAGATATAATTCACACACCTGACAAGTCACTCATTTAAATTGCACAATTGAGTGGTTTTCATATGTTCAAAGGGATATGCAACTGTCACCACTGTCAATTTTAGTAAATTTTCATTGCTCCCAAAGAAACTCCATGCCCACTAAGTCACTCTCACCTCCCTCAGCTTCCCAGTCCTAAGCAACCACCAGTCAGCTTCCTGTCTCCATGGGTTTTTCTATTCTGGACATTTCGTATAATTGCAATCATACAATATGTGGCCCTTTGTGACTGGCGTATTTCACTTAGCATAATGTTTTCAAAGCTCATCCACATTGTAGCGTGGGTTGCATATTTGCATATTAGCTTTTTATATTAATACTAATCATCTGAGAGTTCATTGACAATAATATACTGACTGGGGGCCCAGTGCACGAATTTGTGCACCTTGACAGGAACTGAGGGCTGTGGGGCTGATGTGGGTACAGGGGCGGGTCTCAGCCCATTGTCCATGCCCCTGCCCGGCCCCTCCCACTGAGGCCCCCAGTCTCATGTCTGCCGGCAGCTCCGCTCCCATCGCTGCCGCTCCCACACGCTTTTGGCACCAGCCCCGCTCCCACCTGTTGATGGCGTGGAGCTATTGGGGCCGGTGCCAGCAGCGAGTGTGAGCAGGGCCAGCGCCGTCAGTGAGTGCGAGTGGCGGCTGCTGCCCTGATTACCACTCAGGAGCAGGGGGAGGTGGAGAAGTCCTCAGGGACAATCTGGCCGGCAGCCGCCGCTCACACCTGCTGATGGTTACAAGCAATCGGGACTGGTGCTGGCTGCGGGTGCAAGCAGGGCTGTTGTCAGCAGCAGGTGCGAGAGGCGGCTGCCGGCCCCAATCACCCCTCAGGAGCAGGGGGAGGTGGAGAAGCCCTGAGGGGCAATTGGAGCTGGCAGCTGCCACTCACACCCACTGACGCGGCAAGCGATGGGGGCCGGCCCTGGGTGCCAGCAGCAGGTGCGAGTGGCGGCTCCAGTGCCAGCAGTGGGTGGGAGCAGACCTGTGCCGACAGCAGGTGAGAACACTGGGCAGGACCGCAGTGCACGGGAGCAAAGAATTTTCAGTAACCACCAGAGGTTTGCCCTGATGACAGCGACCGGCACCCGACCTTGGTCTGGTGCCCCTGCTCACCTGCTCCACCATCCCACTGCGGCCAATGCCCACCATGTTCCGCGCTCTGCCGCCTGCTGCCAACGCCCGCCATGTTCTGAACACGCCCCCTGGTGGTCAGCACATGTCATAGGGGCCAGTTGTTCATTTGTTCCTCTGTTCGGTCTATTTGCATATTAGCCTTTTATTATATAGGACTAGAGGCCTGATGCACAAAATTCATGCAAAGTGTGTGGCCGTGGCAGCTTGCCTTGGTCCTCACAGCCCCAGCTTCATCTGGAAGGTCATCCAGAAGGACATCTGGAAGGTTGTTCGGCTGTCCAGTCTAATTAGCATATTACATTTTTATTATACTAGAGGCCCAGTGCACAACATTCGTGCACTGGAGGGGATGGGGGTGTTCCTTAGCCCGGCCTGCACCCTTTCGCAGTCTGGGAGCCCTCGGAAGATGTCCCCTGTGGGGAGCGGGCCTAAGCCACAGTTGGACATCCTTAGCACGCCGCAGAGGCGGGAAAGGCTCCCGCCACCGCCAGTGCACTTTCCAGCCCCCAGCCCAACTTGTGGCTGAGCGGCAGTCCTCCTGTGGGAGCACACTGACCACCAGGGGTCAGCTCCTGCATTGAGCATCTGCCCCCTGGTGGTCAGTGTGCATCATAGCAACTGGTCATTCCACCGTTCGGTCAATTTTCATATGACCCTTTTATTATATAGGATTATTATAGATAATACACAGCTGAAGAACATAATCTTCACTTTAAATTTCTAGTTGTTTACTAATCTTAAGTAGCTCTAAATTTATAATTTTTATGTTTAGATCTTTGTGTCAAAATTCTGAGAGAAAATAAAAGTTGTCCAGGAGCTACACAGTTAGTGTATTGGTAAGTAAAATGATACCTAACAATAGGATTTTTTTTTTATTAAATCACATTTTTTGTACCTTGGATACATTTCAGTGTTTAACCCAATTTTAGCAAGTCCCCCTTTAACCTTGGATACTATATTTGCAGGTCTTTGGATTTTTGCATTAAATTTTTTCTTTATTTTATGCTCCATGTGAGCTTCATTTTCCTATTATTGTTCCCCACAAATAGTAGGTCAGATATTTTACTTGTTATTTTTAAAATATATTGTTTATTGATTTCAGAGAGGAAGGGAGAGGAAGAGAGATATAGAAACATCAATGATGAGAGAGAACCATTGATTAGTTGCCTCCTGCACTTCCCACACTGGGGATCGAGCCTGAAGCCCAGGAATGTGCCCTGACTGGGAATGGAACCATGACCTGGTTCACAGGTCAATGCTCAACCACTGAGCCACGCTTGCCAGGCTGAGGTCAGATATTTTATATCTTCCCTTCCCTCCATATCAGCATTTTATATTCTTGGCATTGTTTGTTTTCATTATTTTAAACTAGTTAATAGGACAGGAGCTTTAATAAGAAAATTTTATATTATTTAGTCATTAGATAATAAGGAGATTTATTAAAAGAATTATTTTCTGGAAATGCATTCAATCTAAAAATGAATCCTTGATTATTTTTTTAGGATGCGAGGATGCTATGATGCTTTACAGAAAAAATATGTAAGTTAATATCTCTTTATCCTTTTTCTCCACAATTTATTCTACAAATGTAACATTAATTACCATGTAGTAAAATATTAATTTAAACTAACTTTAGCATAGGCCAGTTCAAATTACTGAAAAGCCTAAACATTTGAATATTTTAAAGACCAATATTTCCCTCATTTAAAGCTAATAGAATTACTATATCACAGATTTTGCCAAGAGAGTTGTGGTTGTTAACACTCATTAACACATTTACAAAAACAATGAATTAAAAGGTCTTTAAGTAGTTTATTCATGCCCAGCTGGTGTTGCTCAGTGGTTGAGCATAGACCTATGAACCAGGAGGTCATGGTTCACTTCCCAGTCAGGGCACATGCCAGGGGTTGTGGACTCAGTCCCCAGGAGGAATTGTGCAGGAGGCAGCCCATCAATGATTCTTTCTCATCATTGATGTGTCTATGTCTCTCTCCCTCTCCCTTCCTCTCTGAAATCAATAAAAGTATATTTTAAAAAATAAATAAATAGTTTATTAATTAGTTTCACATGCCTTCTCTACTCTTATTTATACTAATAATTTAATAATTTATTCATGAGCATTCAAAAATAAATTTCCATTAGTCTAAGTTATATTGTCACAAATTCTGAATTAGTGAAATTTCAATTAATAAAGTTTTACGATAGACCATGAGCCTTTTTGTATAGTTAGCATATATTTATATCAACATATACAAAGAAGTGAAATAAAGTTGAGAAAGGTAAAATTTTATCTATGGTCACTAATCTCCCTCATTAAGGCGTTAAATATTTAATGTCTATTAAATATTGAGTGCCTACTGTGTGCTAGACACATATTCTGGGTAAGAGCTGGGTAAGCTAACAGTGGTCAAACAAGCAAGTCAGATAAGTGCAATTAAAATTTTTAGAAATAATAGGTGGCAAATGAAAGGTAAGGTAACTTTAGATGGGGTGTTCAGAGGAACTACGTGAGTAGGTGGGATTTAAGCTGAGACTTAAATGAGAATAAACCAGGCAGGCATTGATATTAGGGACAGAATATTCCTAGCAGAGCAGCAAATTCAGAGCTGGAGGGGAGTTTGGAGAGTTCAAGGAACAAAAAGGCCAGTATGATTGTAGTGCAATAAACAGTGTAGAGTGGCAGGAGATGAGCTTGGAGAGAGAAGGAGGGCAGGAGCATTCACAGCTATGTAGGTAAAGAGTTTGGATTTTACTTTAGGTGCAAATAAAAATCATTTGAAGATTTTGAGTAGAAATGTAACATTATTTGATTTATATGTTAAATTAGAAATCACTCTGGCTGCTATTTAGAGAATATACTATAGAAGTAGAATAAGATTGAAATTAAGGAGAATAGCACTTTAATCTATTATTACAGTACTGGTAAAACAAACAAACTGGTGGCTTAGACCAGGATAACAGAAGAGGAGAAAAAAAAAGAGATTTAAGATATGTTTCATAGTAGAATTGATTGGACTTGGTGGTAGATTGGTTCTGAAGTATTAGCAAAAGATCTAAATCAAGGATGACTCTTAGATTTTGGCAGGTTACTTGAGTGAATGATTTCCTGTGATTCTCTGTTCTGTGGTCTCAAAAGCCTCTTCCCTTTATTAAATGACCAGGGCCCTGAATTCTGTATTTTTTCTCCTTTCAAAGTTAGTTTTCACATTGGAAAGATTTAATGTGTTCTTTCAAAATATATATTTTTCTTGTAACTGGCAGTAATGCTCCTATTTGCTTAAGCAAATAACATGAATTTCATCCTTCAGTAAGTCAACTAGAAGCAGATGTTTTAGGGAATAGAGAAAGACATGTAAAGTATGTATTGCTCTATATGCATCATATGAAGTCTATTTTCTGCAAGATTATTTTTTACTAGGAATAAATTTTGAAATAGGACAGAATTCTTATGATCCATCATGAAAACATTTTATACAATAAAAGTAAGATTTTTGTTCTTTGTTGTATTTCAGCTAAGGATTGTTGTTCTAGCTGTAAGTATTTTTAAATTATATGTTGTTGTTTTTTAAAGACAGTAAAATTCTACCTTGCTTAATTAAGTAATACTAAAACCATCAATTAATTATGTCACTTTATTGAAATAACTAATCTATTTAATGGGGGAAAAGTATCAAAATTAATATTTTAGGGGGTTGTTTTGTATTTTATTTTGCTGAGTTCATGTAATAGTTTAGTCTAAACAACTAATTTACTTCTCCTTGAATACTTAGCCTTGTATCACTCAATTGTAAATTATTTTAAAATAGGTATACACCAACCCAGAAGACCCTCAGGTAACTCTGCTTAAGTTAGTAAAGATACATAATGCCTCTAATATCTAAAAAATAACTTAAATTATAATATAATATCTTATGCTTTTAATTGTGTTTTAACCAATGCACTTTCACATATATTTTCAAGTTTGAACCTCATAAAGACTTTTTTGAGGTAAAACAGGGTTTGTTTAGTTACCTTCAAACAAATTAATACACTTACTACAAGAGAGATTATGTGACTGACTCTAGGTCACAAAGCCACAGACCATTTGAAATAACTTAAATATGCTGACTTTTGGTTCTTCATAGTATTCCTTTTATAAAATTACTAAAGGCCTGGTGCATGAAATTTGTGCACTTGGGGGGGGGGCGGGCGGGGTCCCTCAGCCCGACCTGCACCCTCTCGCCGTCCGAGAGCCCTTGGGGATGTTCGACTGCTGGCTTAGGCCTGCTCCCCGTGACCTATGAACCAGGAGGTCACGGCTCAATTCCCTGTCAGGACACATGCCAGGGTTGTGGGCTCAATCCCCAGTAGGGAGCATGCAGGAGGCAGCCAATCATTGATTCTCTCTCATCATTGATGTTCCCATTGTTCTTTCCCTCTCCCTTCCTCTCTGAAAGCAATAAAAAAATATATATTTTTTTAAATATATTTTATTGATTTTTTACAGAGAGGAAGGGAGAGAGATAGAGAGTTAGAAACATCGATGAGAGAGAAACATCGATCAGCTGCCTCCTGCACATCTCCTACTGGGGATATGCCCGCAACCCAGGTACATGCCCTTGACCGGAATCGAACCTGGGACCCTTCAGTCCGCAGGCCGATGCTCTATCCACTGAGCCAAACCGGTTTCGGCAAAAATATATATTTTTTAAAAAGCGTAAATGACTTGCTTGTGGTTACAGTATAGCAAGAATTGAAGGCCTGTGCTTTGTCGTTCTGCTAAAGTAAGAGATATGCTGCCTCCCTTCCTTATCTGTCTGCCAAGGAATTCCTTCTCTCTGATAAATCTAACATACATTGCAATGAGTAGGAGAATAAATTTCTCTCAAAGATTGAAGCCATAAATCCCAAACCATGGTAATCAACTATTGGGACTTTAAAGTTTCGATGAACCAATAGGGATTAATATGGCAGAAAAAATTATTAAGTAAATATTAAGTCATACAAAAGCAGTATACAGCTACTTGGCTTCCAATACTGTATATCAGATACATAACTGCAGTGTTTTCTACTTAAGACAATTTCAGAATGTTACCAATTTAAATTCAAGTACACTGAGAATGGACCAGTCATGGACTTCATAAGGTATTGTTCTATACTTTTCTTTTTCTATGACAGATTACCATTTATTCATATTAATACTATATAACTAAACTTCAGGATTAATTTGGAACTTTTCAGACATCCCCAATTAACCATCAAGGTGTAGCTGTACCAAGTATCCTTGGAGTAGCTGTAAACCAGGATTCTGTGGCTAATTGTATGTTATTTTAATTAGGAAACAGAGCCAAAGAGTAGGAAAGCTATTGCATGCTTGAGTGATTATAAATATAATTAAAATCCATGATTTGTTTTCTTCAAGCATCTTATATAAAATGCATATTAATTTATGTAAAATTAAGCTACTAGTTTATAATAATAACTTTTGTATCATAATGACATTTTATGGTTCCTTTCAACTTTACAACTTAATGCTATAATAGAAATAAGAATCTTAAATAGTAAAATGTGAAGCTATGTTATTAGAAGCTACAGGTGTCATAAAATAATGTGTGATTCTCTTCTAGTCAAAATCAAAGCACTGAATCTAGTTTGTCATCTGCTGACACCAAGAAAGCAAGTATTCTCCTCATTCGCAAGATGTATGTTCTAATGCAAAATCTGGAACCTTTACCTAATGATGTTTGCTTGACCATGAAACTTTTTTACTATGATGAAGGTACTATTTGCAATACATACTGTTTTATTTTTTTTTTAATATATTTTTATTGATCTCAGAGAAAAAGGGGGAAGAGAGAGAGAGAGAGAGACATCAATGATGAGAGAGAACCATCACTCAGCTGCCTCCTGCATGCTCCACACTGGGGATTGAGCCCACAATCTAGGCATGTGCCCTGACCGGGAATCGAGCTGTGACCTGGTTCATAGGTCAACACTCAAACACTGAGCCACGCAGGCTGGGCTGCAATACATACTGTTTTAGTATCTGCATGTTTTATTGTTGTTGAAATGATTGGTTTTCATCCCAAATGTTTGTAAGGATCTAAATTGTTATATACTTTTTTTGAAATCACAAAATTTACACTTAATATTAACATTTGAAAAAGAAAGAATTGACAAAATGCACTTTAAAAAATACACAGACTTCTCCAGTGATAACATATCTATGATAGGTAAAGTCTTACTCATAATTAAAGAAATGAAACAGATACCATTTTCACTTATTAGATCAGCAAAATTTATAAACACATTATTGGCAAGGGTGTGTGGGAGGGAAGCAGGCATTTTTATATACTCTTGAGAGAATATGCATAGATACAACATTTTTAAATAACAATTTGGCAGTATTACAATTTTAAATGCACATTGCCTTTAATCCAAAAATTCTATAGCTAGGAAAATATCTTAGGAATATACTTACACAAATATGCAATATATGTGTGTGTGTGTGTGTGTGTATATATATGTATATATGGATTTTCATTATACTCTTGGTTAAAACAGGAACAAACTGGAAACAACCTTGAGTGTCCTTCATTGGAGGATTATGTAAATAAATTATGGTGCATCTATATAATAAAATACTATGCAAGCTATTAAAAAGTATGCACTGATAACCCGTCCGGTGTGGCTCAGCAGTTGAGCATCGACGCAGGAACCAAGAGGTCACAGTTTGATTCGGGGTCAAGGCATATGCCTGGGTTGCACGCTCAATCCCCAGTGGGGAGGGTGTGCAGGAGGCAGCCAATCATCGGATGTTTCTCTCTCATCAATGTTTCTATTTCTCTATCCTTCTCCCTTTCTCTCTCTACAAATCAGTAAAAACATTAAAAAATTATTTTTAACCCTTTGAGGTCCAATGTTATTTTTGGAATTCAAACAGTCTGGTCCAAATTAATTGACGGGATTGAATGTTGAACTAAAAAGTTCTTAAAAAATGTTCTTATTGCTCGACATTGGACCTGCTCTTAGCGCCTGGTCTGTCGAGTCAGCCTCAAGGTTGGACCGAAAAGGGTTAAAAATTCGCTGATAAATTAAGTTATTCAAGAAATATTAAAACATTTAAAAGATGTTATAAACAGGTTGGCACAGGTATGATCTTATTTGTGTTTTTTAAGTGTATATATATGAATATATAGAATATTATAAATTTTATATGCATAATCTGTCTTCTAAAAGAACATAAAGCAACAACATAAAAACAACTGGTATTTATTAAATACTTACTATGTGCCAGTCCCATTCTGAGCATTTTGCACACTTTAATTCATTTAATATCCACAATTACCCTATGAGGTAAGTCCTGTTATTTTCCCCATTTGACAGATGAGTAAATCAAATCAAGGATGATAAATAATTTCCTCAAGATCACACAGACAGTCAAATGGGGAAAAAAAGGTTACCTTTAGGGAATAAAATAAGAACTTGGAAACAATAGGAGGGTGATTTTTACTTTTTATTGTATTTGAAATTTCTTCAATCTGCATATATTTTTATAATAATATTTTCTTCAATTTCGTGAACAGCACAGTTTATACTTACTTTTTTGCAGTTACACCCCCAGGTTACCAGCCTCCTGGTTTTAAGGATGGTGATTGTGAAGGAGTGATATTTGAAGGGGAGCCTATGTACTTAAATGTGGGAGAAGTCCCAACACCCTTTCACACCTTCAAAGTAAAGGTGACCACCGAGAAAGAACGAATGGAAAATATTGATTCAACTGTATTATTTCCAAACCAGTTAAAAACACCATTTCAAAAAATACTCATGGACAAAGATGATCCAGAAGATGAACAGGAGCATAATACATCTGTAAGTGTATTTAAAGAGATATAAAGTACAGTAGTAATAAATGTTTGCCTCAATAAGGACTTTAATAGCTCATGTTAATATTTGAATAAATATTGAATCAGAAACATAAACTCAAGGTTGGAAGGGACCTTAAAGAAGGTATAGGCTTGTTTTAAAAGACAAATTATAAAAATATACAACTTTCTCAAAATGTATCCTGGTTTCTTAAGAACCCCTAGATCTTATTGGTGTTTGAGGGTACTAAATTAGAAATGTTCACACAATAAGCTACCACTTTCATAGCTTTGGAATTTCCATACAGATATTAGTATACACTCTGAATATGCCCAACCCAGTTTAAAAATTCAAAATGTTTTAATGCTTTTTATCTCAATACAAACATTATTTAAAAGTGCAACAAGTTTGCCCTGACAAGTTTGGCTCAGTGGCTAGAGCGTCGGCCTGTGGACGGAAGAGTCCCAGGTTCGATTCCGATCAAGGACATGTACCTTGGTTGCGGGCACATCCCCAGTAGGGGGTGTGCAGGAGGCAGCTGATGGATGTTTCTCTCTCATGGATGTTTTTAACTCTCTATCCCTCTCCCTTCCTCTCTGTAAAAAATCAATAAAATATATATATATATATATATATTTTTTTTTTAAATTGCAACAAGTTTGAATGAAGCCTGGAATGGTTAGAGGCCCAGCCAACCACTTGACCTCCCCTCATAGTGGTGAGCATAGTTTGGTCTCTGGAGCATAGTTTGAAAACCACTGACCCAGTCCAATTCTCCAACTAATGCTGGAGCCCTTTTTACAATTCTATTAGCTCTGCTTGAATTTTTTTAGGGCCTGGAGAGTCAGTCCTGAAGCAGCCTGGAGTTCCTAGAAGGAAGAAAAAGTATCTTATTGTTGTCCTCCTGTACCTAGCACTTAGATTTACAAGTGTGCATTCTCAGTATTGGTTGAATGAATGGATGAATCTATACTAATAATAGACAAATATGTAAATTGACTGTCCCTCCAAGATTCCCACAGCCAATCAGGAGTGAGTATGCAAATTAGCCCAACAAAGTTGGCAGGCCTGTGGGCAGCGCTCACACGCACAGGTGCCAAGTGGCCAGGGGCGGGGCAGGATGCCTGCTCACCTGCCACGTTGCCAGGGCAATGCGGCGGGCATCCCCAGGACCCTGGCCACTCCAAGCCTGTGGCCAGCATGCACACTCTGGCGCCAAGCCGCCTGGGTCCCAGGGACACCACTGGAGTATCCGGTCCTGTCAGCCAGGCCTGCGGGCGGCTGGAGTTCCTAGTCCTTTTGGTTTCTGCAGCCCCTGTACCGGAAGCAGAAGCCCAGAGCGTGGGGAGCACCAAGAATGCTGGGAATCATAGTTCTGGTGGCAGACGTGTTGCGGGATCTCCTAGACATTAGAGCAAAATGAGCCTGGAGCAAGTTACTGTTGCAGGTGGGAGTTGGAGGGAAAGCAAAGGTGAGAGAGACATAGTAAAGTCAGAGTGTTGAGGAAAAATTAAAAGGAAGATATCCTGCTACTTCTAGGAAATCTCCCACCAATGGAGCAAAGAAAAAAAAAGACCTCTATTATTCTGTGAGCATCAAACCAAACTGGGTTGAGGTCTCAGACAATTCGCTCATATGATTGCAAAGACAGACAGAAACTCCTGGGTTGGAGAGGGCTCCCCTGAGGGTTCCCAGATTGGAGAGGGTGCAGGTTGGGCTGAGGGACCCACCCCCTGTGCACGAATTTCATGCACCAGGCCCCTAGTATAAGTATAAGAAAGCTTTTGTTGTTGCCTCACTCCAAGGAAATCTTTCATCATTAACATAATTTTCTTTAATCTCATCTTTGTTGTTTGTTCTTGTCTTATTTTATCCTAAATTGGGACCACAGTTCTGACTATTATGATTTAGGCTCTGTCCCCACATCCTTACAAATAGAAAAATTTCATTTTCAACCAATACTGTCAAAGAAGAAATATTTTCCCTAAAAACTAAACCACAGCCTTGCTTTATAAACAAATATGTCTGGGATTTATGTAGCATTCTTTAAAATATTTAAAGCTTGGCCCTGGCTCAGTTGGTTTAGTGTTGTTCCATGCACCAGGAGGTCACTGGTTCAATTCCGGTCAGGACACATGCTTGGGTTGCAAGCTCCATCCCCCACCCCTTCCTATCCTACCCCATGCAGGAGGCAGCCTATCGATGTTTCTCTCTCTCCCTCTCCCTTTTTCTCTCTAAAATCAATAAAAACATTTTAAAAAAATATTTAAAGTTCTTTGACATATGTCACATAGGGAATAATACTTATGAAGTAAACATTAAACCTGTTCAGAGTGTATGCTAACATCTGTGTGGAAATTCCAGAACAATAGAAGTGGCAGCTTGTTTTGTGAATATGTCTAATTCAGTGCCCTCAAACACAGTAAGATCTAAGGGTTCTTAGAACCATTATACATTTTGAGAAAATTATATATTTTTATCATTTGTCCTCAAAGCAACCCTGTAAAGTATTTTATACTTTGGATAAATAAGTTGCCTTGTTATAGTAATTATACGACCATTTTATTTCTAGCAAGCATAAGGTAGTTGTAGTCTTATGTTATACTAGAGGCCAGGTGCACAAATTCGTGCATGGGTGGGGTCTGGCCCAGGCAGATCAGGCCAGCTGAGGGGAGGGGCTGCAGGTGGTTGGTGGGCTGGCCCCACCCTCTGGTCGAACTCTAGAGGGGTTTGGTCAAGGGGGCAATTTGCATATTAGCCTTTTATTATATAGGATTTAACCTTCACAGAAAACAAATTTGTTTAAATAGGTCCACCAAGTTATTTTATTTTCTTTTTGAAATGTGTCCTTTTATTCCCCATGTAATTATATAGGATGATTTTGACATTGAAATGAAAACAGAAGAGCAGAAAAAAAATCCTGGATCTTCTGAACTTGGAGGTATGAAGTTAATGTAAATGTAGATTGATTCACTTCTAACTCAGTTTTATGCTTTTAACTTTTTTTTTTTTTTTTTCAGAACCAAATTTAGCTTGTGAGGAAGATGAGATTATGACATCTAAAGAAGTTCCAGAGCTTTCAGTTTCTCCTTCTCAGGTATAAACTTGATAGTTCCATCTTACTTTTGTTTTTTTCTTATTTTTATTTTTTGTTGATCCTCACCCGAGGATATTTTTCCATTGATTCTTGGAGAGAGTTCAGAGAGAGAAATATTAATGTGAGTGAGTCACATCGATTGGTTTCCTCCTGCATGGGGATCAAGCCTGCAACTGAGGTACATGCCTTGACCAGGGACCCTTCAGTCCACAGGCCGACGCTCTGTCCACTGAGCCAAACCCGCTAGGGCTTAACTTTTTTTTTTTTTTAAGACTGTTTCTTATGTGTTTATTTAGTTATTTCTCAGATTTTCTTAATCTAGGTCTTTTAGAAGAAAATTAGGTATTAAGAATGCTCATTAACAAAATTCAGGAATTATATGTTGAAAGTTTTAAGTATATTATTGGTAGATTTGTTTAATAATCTACATACTGTTCATAGAATCTCAATATTTCAGAGCTAGATGGAATCTTAAGCAATTACTATACACCACCCTTTCTATTTACAAATGGATTATATAATATATAATATTATATATAATACATTTTTGTTGTCTTGGAGCAGAACATGTTTAGTTTTGTTTTCCATTTACAGTAAAATCTAGAAGTAACATTTAGGTAAAATGAACTTGAAAATGTTATTGATGATTGTCCCCCTTTACACAGCCCCTTTTTCCATTGGCAGTGAGCTAAAGTTTTTCTTCTAGAAGAGTAGTGCCTGGTGATGATCATTTGGGACTTTCTCAGCTCAGAGAATAGTCAACTGTGAACAGTGTCAGTTTCACTATCTTTATATTTGTACTTTTTATGACAGTAAAAACCAACTCAAAATTACTAAGTTTCATTACCTCAACAAACAAGACCCTAAATTTTATGTGATTGAATTATTTTTAAAAATATTTTTATTGACTTCAGGGAGGAAGGGAAAGAGAGAGAGAGATAGAAAATCAATGATAATAGAGAATCGTTGACTGGCTGCCTCCTGCATGCCCCCAACCAGGAATCAAGCCTAAAACCCAAGTATTTACCCTGACGCCCTGACCCTCTGTCCCCCTGACCGAGAATCTAACTATGATCACCTGATTCATAGGTCGATGCTCAACCACTGAGCCACACCGGCCAGACTATAATTGAATTTTTAAATCCTATTATTGTGTTATGAGAACACATGGTTCAATAGGATTATATTATGTGTAATTATTTTCTTCTCTAGGTTGAGCAGTTAGTCAGTAAAACATCTGAACTTGTTATGTCTGAAAGCAAAACAAGAAGTGGAAGGATTTTTCACAGTAAAATAGTAAGTGTCTCTTTAGATTGTTTTCCATTCTAACCTTATAATTTCCCCCCATATATGAGTTTATTTTGTTTATGAACACTTCATTTATTGGACCAATATTTAGTAAGCACCTACTATGTGTCAGATACTTTATTAGGTGTTAAAAATAACACATAGTTCCTGTTCTTAGCTAAAAGTTTAGTAATTGGAGGTCAACAAGCAGTGGTATAGGGCCATTATAGCAGTCTGAATAAGCTACATAGAGCCACAAAGGAAAGAATGGTTAATTTCATTGAAGGTACATTAGAGAGGGACATCCAGAAAAGGCTTTGAGAAGTGACACTATTATATTCGAGTAGACTCCCAAGGAAATGCCAAAATGTTCCATGTTCTATCTTATAAATGGATTATCTTGTTATTAAGACATTAAAAATGAATGTTTTATATACATCTTGCATAAAATGAATCTCATGTTCTTAAGCAAAAAGGCAAACACTGCTTTGTTTTACTTTTTGGTATGAATTGTATTAAATAGAAATTTGTATTTTATTTTAAACCTTTAAGTTACTCTCAAAGGTTCAGAGGTGAAAAAAAGAAGCATTCTGTAAAATATGCAAAATATTATGTCCAAAAATAGAAAACAGTGCACTTTAACAGTGGTATGCTGGAGTATTTCTCCCCACTCCTCATTCAGTGACATCATGTTGGCAGCTTGAAATTGGACATGATAGAGTATTTACAGCATGAATATCAGCAAATGCCTCAACCCAGGATTTGTTCCCAGAGAACCAGTTATTAACACTAGAAAGATTGAAATTTAGTATATACCTATATTGCCCAAAAGCAGTCAAAATTACTGCATTGTGAAAGAATAATATCGGAGCACTCTTCACTTATGTTCCTTAGCTTTTCCAATAACTCACTTCTATTCGACATTTCTTTCATGAATTTAGGGCGCAAAAGAAATAAACAACTTATTAGAACAAGTATCACTGCATAAAGATTCAAATAACAAGTACTAGTTTAGCTTATTGAGCAACTGCAACTTATCAAGTATCGACAATTTATCATGTACTTGTATGTTATCATGTGACGGTAATCGAAAAAAAATGAAAACTGTTATTTCAATACAGAGCCGAACTGATCATATAAGAAATTTACTCAATTCAATAATAAGAGTGATAATTTCCCAAGCAGTCAAAATGACTGCTTTGGGCAATATAGGTATAACACATATATATATACCGGAAATGAAGGAGGGGGAGGTAACTACAATTATTAATAAACGCATTTATATGTTGTACAAAAAGTCACAAAATTCTAAGACATTGTGTCCTTATATACATAATTGTTTTTCTAATTGAAATTAAAAAGCAGTCAAAATGACTTCCTTGGGCAATCTAGTGTTAAACATTTACCAGCACATCACTGCCATTTTTAGGTGTCCTTTCCCCCCAACATTCTCAATGGGAAGTTAGAACTGGCATAAAACAGCATTCAAACTAGCCTGCTGATGAAAGCAAAAGATAAAAGAATTTCAAAAATTAGTATTTCTAGCAGCAAAATATTCTTCCTAGGAAACTTCTATTTCGGATGAGTATCCTTTTTTAGGATATAGGGAGAAAAGCCAGAATTAAAAACAATTATTAGGTAGCCTGGTGGGTGTGGCTCAGTGGTTGGGCATTAACCTATGAACCAGGAGGTCATGGTTCAAAGATTTCCTTGTAATGTAATATTAGGATGTGTTGGGAACATAAATTCATTTCTGAAATTGCCTATGTTTTTGGATATAAAGTCTGCCAAAAGTACTCCTGATTTTGAGAATCATGACTGAATTATGGTTAGGAAAGGGCAATAAATGAAAATATTTAATAGTATATATACTAAGGAAGTTACTATTGAAGAGTACATTTCAAGCATCAGAAAATTATGTCCTTTTAAAGAATAATAGTATGATAGATAATAATTTGTCATTCAGTATTCATTTTAAAAACTGAATATCTGACATTATTCACGGTAGTCAAAAGATGGAAAAAAACCTAAGTGTCTATCAAAGGATGAATAAACAAAATGTGGCATATACATACAATAGAATATTATCCTATATAATAAAAGCCCAGCAACCATAACAGCAGAACGACCAGAATGACCACTCTACCAGTCACTATGAGGTGCACTGACCACCTTCCCCAGCACTGGTCACTTTCCCCGGCCAGCAGAATCCGATTGCCTGATGCAAACAGGGACCCAGGGCTGGGGGTGGGGGAATGTGCATGGCACCAAGCCAAGGCCCCGCTCCCTACCAGTCTCACCACACACAGAGGGCAATGTGGTGGGGGTGGGGCCAAAAGCGGATGGAACAGCCAACCTCTCAGTCCCTCCCCCTAGCCATCAGGCTCCCATCGCCCGATGGTGAACGGGAACCGAGGTGGGTGGCAGTGGGCGGAACAGCTGACCTCTTGGTCTCTCCCCCCTGGCCAGCAGGCTCTGATTGCCTGATGGTGAACACGGACCCAGGGATAGGTGGCAGGGGATGAGGCGGCACCAGGCCAAAGCCCCTGCCCCCTGCTGGTCGCCCCACACACAGAGGGCAACCCGCGGCGGGGGTGGGGCCGGTGAGTGGATGGAAGGGCCGACTCTCGGTCCCTCTCCCTGGCCATCAGGCTCCCATCGCCCGATGGCGAACAGGGAACCCGAGTGGGTAGCAGCCAGTGGAACAGCTGACCTTTTGGTCCCTCCCCCCGGCTGGTAGGCTCCAATTGCCCGATGGTGAATGCAGAACCGGGGTAGGTGGCGGCAGGGGGCAGGGCTGGCTGCTGGCAGCCAGGAAGATGGCCCTGATCACAGACTAGGCCTAGGGACCATATCCACACATGAATTTCGTGCACTGGGCCTCTAGTTCAGCTATAAAAAGAAATGGTGTATCAGTACATGCTACAACTTGGATGGACCTTGAAAACATTATGCTAAGTGTAAGAAATCAATCACAAAAGTCCACATATTATATGATTCCATTTACATGAAAGTCCAGAATAGGGATTTCTATAAATTCAGAAAGTCATGGAGTTGGTGGGAAGATGAGGGAATAGATGAGTGATAACTATAAGGGGAGAGGGTTTGTTTTTAGAGTGTTCTCTAAATGTTCTAAAATTGACAATGGTAATGATAGTATAGCTCTATGAACTATTAAATAGGTGAATGGCATGGTGTCTGGATTATAGCTGTTTAAAAAATTTTTTTAAAAACTTCATATAGTACCTATGGTTAAAAATCAAGTGTTATTTGTTCTTTGAGAAGTAACCCATTAGTAATTATTCTCTATTTTTGGAGGCTAATGAAAATAAACCAGTAAAATCTTCTAAAGCAAATCGGAAGAGAAGTCAACTAGAATCTGGAAAAACAGTAAGTCTTATGATAATAAATAGGTAGAATAAAATGGCAAGTATCAGAATATCATTATTATGGATTAAATTGAAGATGACAAATATAAAATCCCTTGATATACCTCAGAATTCTGATATCCAAATCTTTTAAAAATATATTTGGTTCTAAAAAATGGAATGATTTTAAAATAAGATGCAGTATGTTGGTGTATTAATTTTCTCCATGTAAATATTTAATGTCTGATTCCATGAATGATTTGAAGTAGCTGGAGGAATTTATAAAATAACATCAGTATCAGGAAAATATGAGAATGAAAAATTGAGAGTACAAGAATATTCAAGCCATTTTATTTATATAGAGCTAAAATTGGGTCACAAATTTGATCTGAACTTTCTAAGATCAAAACTAAAGCAGAAACAGATAAGTTGTCAAATCCAGTTGTTCCTTAAAATATAGTATTTCTGCCCTAACTGGTTTGGCTCAGCGGATAGAGCGTCAGTCTGCGGACTCAAGGGTCCCAGGTTCGATTCCGGTCAAGGGCATGTACCTTGGTTGCAGGCACATCCCCAGTGGGGAGTGTGCAGGAGGCAGCTGATCGATGTTTCTCTCTCGTCGATGTTTCTAACTCTCTAGCCCTCTCCCTACCTCTCTGTAAAAAATCAATAAAACATATTTTAAAAAAAAATATATATATATATATAGTATTTCTTCTTAGTACCTTAGGAGAAAAAATTTTCCCTGACCTAAATCCTATAACAGTTGTTTTATATTTGGAATCTTATTTTACTAAGTAAGATAATGTATTTGTCATTTCTGAGATAAATATTTATACTTTTTCAACTATAATTTTTAGTGTTATTAATAGGTTAAAATTAGAAACTGAAAACTTTTTAAAAATCAAATGTTAAAGGGGTAATCTAAAAAATTTACCTATCTTAAGCAGAAAATGGAATAATTTGACATGTCACTAATATATTAGAGTCTTTAATTTTTCCCAGTGTAGTAAGCCTTGATTTCTCTCCCTGCAAAATCATAATTCAATCGTATCCTTTGTTTTTTTTGTTTGTTTATTTGGGGTTTTTTTAATATATTTTATTGATTTTTTACAGAGAGGAAGGGAAAGGGATAGAGAGTTAGAAACATCGATGAGAGAGAAACATCGATAAGCTGCCTCCTGCACACTCCCCACTGGGGATGTGCCCGCAACCAAGGTACATGCCCTTGACCGGAATTGAACCTGGGACCCTTGAGTCTGCAGGCCGATGCTCTATCCACTGAGCCAAACCAGTTAGGGCTCAATCGTATCCTTTGTAAGTTTCTTCCAGAAAAATCAAAGTTCAATAACTCAGGAAATCTTGTTAGGAATTTTCCTAGTTTGTCATCCCAGTCATTCAAAAGTGTGCATTGAATGTCTACTATCTATTAGGCACTGCTAAGTACCAAGGATACAAAAACAAAACATGATTTTATTTTATTTTATTTTTTTTAATATATTTTATTGATTTTTTACAGAGAGGAAGGGAGAGAGATAGAGAGTTAGAAACATCGATGAGAGAGAAACATCGATCAGCTGCCTCCTGCACATCCCCTACTGGGGATATGCCGGCAACCCAGGTACATGCCCCTGACCAGAACCGAACCTGGGACCTTTCAGTCCGCAGGCCGACGCTCTATCCACTGAGCCAAACCGGTTTCGGCATGATTTTAATCTTACATTGTGCCTAGGTAGACTGCTTTTCTATCTGCAGCTCATTTTATAGTCCTTTTTCCCTCTCTGTATCCCCCAAAATATTTTACTATTTTGAGAGCATAATGTTAACTCTATTTATCTACTCCAACAACCCTTATAATTTGCAAGTATGTACTTTCAGCAGCCATCAGAAGATTTAAATATGTGAATAATAAAATTTCCCCTACTTTTAAAGAACCCAGGTAACCTACTTTAGAAGGACGTAGATATACTAGGTATAATTTTTGAAAAAGAAGAAGAAAGAAACTTCAGAAACATAAAAAGATATAAAACTAAAGACATTTAAACTGTAAAATACCGATTCTTAGTATTTGTTTTCTTTTGACAGGTTCTTCATCACGTTGATTCTGCTAGTCAAGAGTCAGTGACAAAAAGAAGAAAGTTTAGTGAACCAAAGGAACATATATAAAAATTATTTTTCTTCTGCATGATTGCAAAGTTCATCTCTACATTTAAAGGATACTATATTACTATTTTAAGGTGTGTTTGCCCTACCTCTGGAAATTTATATGTAGTCTTAAGCAGTTAGTACACTAAAATGAATTCTTAGCTATCATATTGTGATCCTTAAACTTATCTAAGACAAATCCAATAGAACTTTTTAATAAAACCAAAAGAACCATTGTCATAATTGATTCTGTTTAATAGCTACTCAATATTGATCTATCTTCCATTTTGGTGGACACTTTCTTTAAACAAACATTAATTTTTTAAGGTCCTCTAAAGCCATTTTTGAAACAAATAATGTTTATTTTGGTGTTATATTTTGGAAGGAATTAACTTTTTACTTGTGTTAAAACTATACCATTTAACTGGTTTTGTTTGCAACTGTGTTATTAAAACAATTCTCTTTAGTAGTTTGATATAGTGTATTAACATAATATATAATGTATAATTGAATATTGGTACTTTACCTTTTTTTAAAAATTTTTTTACTATAAGACAAAATGATAACTGATTTTAAAAGTCTGGCATTTTACAGAGCATAAATAAAATATTGTTAAGCATCTATACTCTTTCATGGCTTCCAATTTTTATATAATTAGCAGAAAGTGTTTAGGCACTAATTTCGAGATCATTTCGGTAGATATTACTTTGCAAGAGTTGAGCACACTTCCTAGAATTTTTGAGTGGTGGTGTGAAAGACTGTGCCCTTAGTGAGAAACCCTGGACATGGTTCCAGGCTTGACCATTTCCTTTGCTTTAGAAACAGAAGACTTAAAACTTGGTCTGCTTGCCTCTTGCGGTTTCAGCAGACATATTCTAAAAACATACATTATTCATAGGTTTGCTAGTAACAAGCGTTAAATCGAGAATGTTGGTATGTATGTGATGGTAGAAAAGTACCCATCCTGTTTAACGTAAACCAAATAAAGGTTCACAAACTGAGCCACATCAGGCTTTTCTGGAACAGGATAATTAGGAATAAGCTAATTGTCAAACACAACCAATTTTTAAATGTTTATTATTAGCTTTATTGTATCCCAACACACCTCACTTTATTGTGCTAGCATACACTGTTACACTGAGATTGACCAACAGAAACCTCTCGCTCGGCAGCTGGAGCTAGCTTACTTAACATTTGGATTGGCCGGTTCGATGGGGCTTGGGAGCTCAGGCCTCTCCTCTATTGTACCGAGGTTCCTTCATTGGATTGACCAGCTGTCAGGTTCAACCCAAACCTGCCTCCTTTTAGTGGTGTTTGTCTGGATCGCAACACAATGGGGGGGAGGGGAGAGCCTCCCCTCGTAAGCTCCGATTGGCTGGACTTAACCATGGCGGTTTCTGATTGGTCCAATGAAGAAACACCAAGGTAGGTTGCCTAGTGATCCTGAGGAAGCTGATGTGTTATTCCTTTTCTGCAGCGAAGGATCAGGAAGTTTGTGCTCTTTCCTTGGCTGGGAAGTTTTTCACCTACTAGGACAAGGGTAGGGGATTGGGTGGAGGACAGGTGTTCTCCTAAAGTAGAGTGCAAGCTGCAGCCTCCCTCGGGCCGTAACCCAGGAGTAACGTCAGGTAAGCAACCGGGGAAATGCATTTCGTAACGTCAAAAAATAAACCAAAACCCTCCAAATTTTTTATTTTATGGGGAAAAGGTGGTTTTGATTTATTTAAATTTTTTGCCTTTTTTTAATAGGATTTTTAACTAGTAAATGTCCACGGGGAGGGGAGATTCATTTCTCAAAGAAACCCCCCCCTCTTTCCCTTCCCCCTCCCCCAAGATTTAAAGTTTCTTGGACTGGGTTAGGAAATAAGCCCTATTCACAGTGCCAGATAAGGTTAATGCCCTTAAGCATTTTATTTATTTCATGGTTCTCTTCGTCCTTCACTCTTTCCACCTCCTACCAAGAATTATATTTGAAATATAGTCCTGTACAAAGAGTCTTTTGTAAGTTACTTAATTTGTATTTCTATTTTAAAAGTTCACATGCATTTCTGAGAATTCATTTTAATCAGTATATATTTATTGAGCAGTTACAACGTTAAAGACCTTGTGCTAGTTGCTATGGAGAATAAAAAAAGCCTAAGAAGACAATATCTCTGCCCTCAAGAAGTTTACAGTTGAGAGACAGCCAGACTATAATAAATACTTTAAAGTAAGTAAGTATAAATAAAGTTTTGAAAGTACAGCTGAGGGAGAGACCAATTCTGACCATGGGACATGGGTAATGGAGGAGACTCACTTAAGCCTCAATAGGCCTTTTAAGAATAAGTAGAATTTAAAGAGTAGGAGGAAAGGGAGAGAACTCCAACATGTACAGAGGAGCAGAGGTGAAAGACATGGCACATGTTTGAGAAATGGTTTGTTCACAGTATGGAATTGGAATTAATGGGAAATAATTGAGAAAAGATAGAATGGGATTCAGTCGCAGAGGTTCCTGAATGCATTCTTCTCTCTTTTTTTTAATCCTCTCTCAAGGATATGTTTTACTGATTTCAGAGAGAGGGGGAAGGAAGAGAGAGAGAGAGAGAGAGAGAAACATCAGTGGTCTCCTTTAAACGTCCCCCCTGGGGATGGAACCCGCAACCTTTCTGTGCATAGGAGGACACTCCAACCAACTAAGCCACACTGGCCAGGGCTTGAATGCATTCTTTTGATGTTGCAAAATATATTCTTTTAAACAATTGCTGATAAAAAATATATTTATTGTATATCATCTTAACAACTGGCATTTAGGTTTAGCTCAAAGTAAGCTAACTTAAACTTCATTACAAATGACAGTGCAATTTCTCCTGACTAGATTTTAAAACAAATGTAGTACTTGGTATAAAAGGGCATGTGCTTTGATTTTCTTTTTTTTTTTTTAGAAAGAATTTGCTAATCTTTTAACATTCTCTTGCCAGTATTTTTGTTTGTTTGTAGCTGTTTTGTTTGCAAGATGAATAGAGATGAAAGTTTTCTGGAATTACTACACATGATCTTCTGAGTGTTATTCTCTAAAGTAGTGATCTCCTAAGTGAGTCATTAGGGTTTGGGAAGAAAATATTAGAACATCTATTTCTATTTAGTTTTTTAAATTTTTTACTTTATAATTTTTTGTGTATGCTTTATAATGTGCCACTGAATGTTTATAGAAGTTCTATATAAATTATCATATGCATATTTGGACTGGATGCTCACAGTTTTTTGCTGTCCCATATTATTTAACTTGGGGAGGATCCATTTTGTGAAAGAGGAGTCACAATGATAGACAGTCACTCCTAGGTTATAGATTATGCACAAGAAATCAACAGGTTTAAAAGATGATTATTTCTACTGGTCTTTAAAATTACTGATTTGATTTCTTGCCAGTGCCTTCTGTGTATTTAAGTTATGTACTTTGGAAGATATTGAATTATGTTACCCACTTAATTTTTCTGGTCATTACTCTTTCTTTCTCTAAGTTATAAATATTTCTTATTCATAAACATTTTGGTATGCATGTATAAGTATCTATATGTATTTATTTACATAAGCACACTATAAATATTTTTCATCACCCTTCCAGAAACAGTTCAGAATGACCACTTTAACTCACCGTGCCCGTCGTATGGAAGTAGGCAAGAACCCTGAAAAGAAGGTAGAAAGTGAGGAAGATACTAATCAAGACAGGAGTTCAGACAATGAAGACTCTGGAGACTCTAAGGATATTCGCCTCACCCTTATGGAAGAAGTATTGCTCCTGGGACTAAAAGATAAAGAGGTAATGTAGTTGGGTCGGCTGAGCCATCCCAAAGACTTAAATACTGAAATGTTTTTAGGAAGTAATAGAATAGAATATTTGTATTAATGTTAGGTTGGCCTTAGAATTATGCTGTGGACATCTTAATGAGGAATGAGAAATTTTGGCGGTTAGCTGATACTCAGAGGGTAAAATCCAGAAGTGCAATTACTTGAAGTGTAATTTAATTACAAAATTATTCCAAAATTTTAGAGGATACAAGAGAAGATATAACACAGTGTAAAGTTTTTGTAGTTACAGTGTCCCAAGTGATAGTGATACTGAAATAACCTCTTATTAAATTAGAAAGAAGGCCCAGCCCTGGCCGGGTGGCTCAGTTGGTTGGAGCATTGTCCCCTGCACCAAAAGGTTGCAGGTTCGATTCCGATCAGAGAACATACCTGGGTTTTGGGTTTGATCCTCAGTTGGGGCTCCTATAGGAGGTGGCCATTGATATTTCTCTCTCACTTGGATGTTTCTCTTTCTCTCTCCCTACCTCTGTCTTTCTCTCTCCCTTCCTCTCTATCTGAGGTTAATTTTATAACCTCAGGTGAGGATTAAAAAAAGGTCAAATAAATGAAAAAGCAAAACTGAATCTCTAAAAGAATGTCAGAGTAGGTCTGAAGATTAGATGGTATAAATACTGTCTTGAAATGCTTACATAAGTGCGGAGGAAACATTCACTGACTCTAGAAGCAGAGCATATTAGAACTAAGAAGCTATTTCGTTTTAGTTTTGAATAGAAATTATTAATTTCCTGCTGACCCTACATATTGGATTTTTGCTTTTGTTCTGTAGAGAAACTGCCTCTGGACTTGTCTTCATTTGTCTAAATTTATAGTAGTTGATATAAACTTAGGGAAATAGAATTTAAAAAATAAAGCATCTCATTTAGAGCTATAATCATAGTGGGTACTCAACATATTGGTGAGATACTGTACAAAGATGGGCAAATAAAAATTAATTACCTTTCTAATTGTTCTAATTTCATTTTTGAATATGCTAAATTAAGTTTTTAGCTTTCAGTTGTTTCAGGAAGACTAAAAAAGGATAAATCCTTAGGTGCAAATAAACAGAAGAGGTCAAACCTTTGGATATGTTAAAGTAGTAGTACTAGTTTTCCAAAATGCCAGTTACATAACTATCTCTAAAAATGTTACATTGATTTCCAGTTCTACTCATTTTCTTCTTATTTCCCAAAGTAGATTTATTTAATCAATATTTAGTGTGATTGGGGACACCCATTATGTGCTTAGTGTTATGCAAATACTAAAGTAAATATAAAATAGCATAAGTGGTCCCTGCCCCCAAGAAATTTGTATTCTAACTGGAGATAAAAGTTAACCCAAAGGATCATCAACAGTAAAATGGATAAAAATGAGTATATTTACTTAAATAAGTATAAGTATACCTCTAGCTAGCTTGGCTCAGTGGATAGAGCGTCAGCCTGCAGACTGAAGGGTCCCAGGTTCGATCCCAGTCAAGGGCACATGCCTGGGTTGCAGGCTCAATCCCCAGTGTGGGGCATGTAGGAGGCAGCCAATCAATGATTCTCTTTGATTATTGATGTTTCTATCTCTCTCTCCCCCTCTCCCTTCCTCTCTGAAATCAATAAAAATATATTA